CCAGTAATGCAATTGAACCATAAAATAAATAGAACCACCACGGCTAATTGCCTTTTTAATGGGAAAATGCATTTTAAGGACACCAGGAAGATATCTTAGTGCAGGAGTTCTTAACCCTAAGGGCTCTATGGATACATTTTAATGGATCCTTGAACTGGGAACATTTAATATTTTCATAATTGCATTTCAATATAATTATTTTCCTTTGTAACCACTTTTTTAAAAATGTGTTTAAAACCATTATTCTAAGAAGGGGCTTCACCAGACTGCCAAAGGGGCCCCTGACATAAAAAAAAAAGATTAAGAAACCCTGTCTTAGAGGTTCTTTCTGACTTTCTGAATCTAACTTTAGGATATACAAAGAGTATCAGTGTGGAAATGATCAAATAAAAATACCTAGGAGATGTAATGTGCTACCTTTCTGATTTAATGTTTAATAGCTTAGAATAGCTGACATTTATTTGGTGCTTTACATATACTATTGCATTTCATCCTTCCAATAGCCATACTCTCATTAAGCCCCCTCATGACTTTTGTGGTAATTCTTTCATACCCTTTGATAAGGCAAATTGTCAAAAGTAAGTTCAACAAATGGCCTTTCTGTCAAGTTACTATTTTATTTGTTTTGTTTAGTTGTTGTTTTTTTAAAGGCAACTGGGGTTAAGTGACTTGCCCAGGGTCACACAGCTAGTAAGTGTCAAGAGTTTGGTCTGAGACTGGATTTGAACTCAGGTCCTCCTGACTTCAGGGCCAGTGCTCTATCCACCGTGCCACCTAGCTGCCCCCAAATTACCATTTTAAAGATTAGAAACCACAGGCAAGTTTATACAGGATGATACATCTAGGGCTCGTGACATGTTAAGTGTGGGAACTCCCTTTACCAACACAGGTCTTTTCAGTTCAACACTTTTATCAATGATTTGAACAAAGTCAGTAGCACAAATCTGGGAGGGATAGCTAAACACATTGAATAACAGAATCTAGCATTAAAAAAGACTGTGACAAGCTAGACTGCTGGGCAGAAACTAACATGATGAAATTCAATAGGAGTAAAGTAAAAATAAAGTTCTGCCCTTAGGTTCAAAAAGTCAATTGCATCAAGTGTGCAAGTTGGAGAGCTAGATCTACAAAACAGTTTATTTCAAGAAAAACCTCAGGGGTTTTAGTGATCTACATGTACAATATGAGACAACAGTTTGATTGGAGAGTCAAAAAAAGTTAATGCTATATTAGATTACCAACAGTTAATGTTTTTATCATCTAAAAATTGTGATTTTTTTTTGAACCACCTGACCATATATGGGCAGCTGGGTGGTGCAATGGATAGAGTGCCAAGCTTGGAGTGAGGAAGACCTGAGTTCAAATCTGTCCTCAGACATTTTCTAGCTCTATGACCCTGTGCAAGTCACGTAACCCTGTTTGCCTCAGTCTCCTCTTCTGTAAAATGAGCTGGAAAAAGAAATGGCAAACCACTCTAGTTTCTTTGGCCGAGAAAACCCTAAATGGGGCCATAAAGAGTCAGACATGACTGAAACGAGTGAACAACAAAAAGCCCCTGTTCTGCCATTAACAGAAGTTTAATTACCAGAACAAGGGAGGTATTAGTCTTTTGGCTATTTTCTCTTCCTCCCACATGTGGAATATTGTGTCCAGTTCTCATTACTGCAATTTAAGAAGGGGTGTTTCCATTCCTATTGTTGGCATAGCCCTTGAGAACCTTGGGTCACTGCCACAATGTGATGAAACATCAGTGTATGACTATGAGGGATTCTGCAAGCTCTTGCAGGTTCTACCAAGTTAGAAAACTTTGAAGAATGGGCCAGGTGACAGACAGACTTTGTGTCTGCAGTTGAAGACCAGAGCAGCAACTCTAAAAAGGTTGGCCACCAGAACATTGATTTTCTTTCTTTCTTTCTTTCTTTCTTTCTTTCTTTCTTTCTTTCTTTCTTTCTTTCTTTCTTTCTTTCTCTTTCTTTCTTTCTTTCTTTCTTTTTTTTTTGCTCTGATGACTCATAAAATGGATAAAAATATAAAATGGTCTTCTGTCCTATGTAACCAGCCCCATTCTACTTCTGCAGGGAAGAAAGTGAAATGGCAGATATAGTGTAGAAAGTGCTTAATAAAAGTTTGTTGTATTGATTTGAATTGAGTCAGCTGAGTTGGTTTCCTAATATAACCAAAAATAATAAGAAATACTATTTCATGGGACACTTGATTAGCTCACTTAGCAGTGCACAGGATGAGTGTAAATGAACAGGTCATCATGAAAATAATTACAGCTTATGAGCCAACATCCATTACAGAGGATGAAGAAATAGAGAAATTAGGTGAAGAACTTGGCAAGATCTTCCTATCTTAGTCAACACATACCTTAATACTCAGTGATTTTAATGAGAAATTGGATGTAGGAGAGGACAATGAAAACTGTTAGAAAATGTGGTCCGAATCAAGAAATGAAAGTGGTTGAGGATTTATATGCTACTTAGAAGCATCATACCTGTGTATTGTTAAATCTTTCTTTTAAGAAAAAGGCTCAAAAGATACCGGACACGTGGGCATCAAACAACATCATAAAAACAGAAACTGACTTCATCTCAGACAGGAAATGCCTGCTTATACATCAAACACAGCAAAATTGGCTGTCTGATCAGCAGTTAGTTAGATTAAAGGTTAAAGTAAAACCAAACCAGAAGAAAGGATGAAGATTAAAGGAAGGCATCGCCTATATTTGAATATAGACGCCCTACCTTGACCAATTTAAGTCAGCTGATTTTAAAAAAAAAGAACAAAGTAAAGTCTCTTATCTCTATAATCACTTCTTAGAGGAATTTGACTGATGCGGCACAACTACCATAACAAGGAGGTCCCCAAAGCCCTAAAACTGCCCGTATCTAGCAAAAGCTCAAACTACTTGCCAAAGAAACATGGCAGTTCAGGGAAACACTGATTTGGAGTCCAAGTTCATTTTCCAAACATTTTGGAAGATGATCATGGAAGACTATGAGTAGTATTATAAAACAGTTTTTTTTAAAAAGCTGAGGGGAAAAAAATCTGCGGAAAACATGAATTGTGATATACCTAAGCCAGGGCCATCCCAATAGCATTTGTGGATGAAACCTGAAGAAGAGCAACAAACAGAAATAGAATTCATCAACAGGTACTTCTACAGTCATTCATTTTCGTGGGTGATGAGAAGGGAGCCACCACATTTAGATCTTCCTAACTCAGTATCCCAAAGAGATACAGGTTTAGGGAAAAATCCCTCAGAATTAGACATAATTATTTTTTTAACTGGATAGATTTAATTGGATAGATGTTGCTATTCTTAATGCATAATCTTTTTCTATTGACTGAGTTGGCACACCAGAAGAGCCACATCAATACTGACATTCTTGCTATAAATAAAACTAGCAGTGGGCCACAGACAAGCCAGCTATGGGACTGCCTGGAAATGCACCAAGTTCCCTGTTACTGGAAGTCTACAAATTGAAGCTGGACAGGGTTTCATGCTTTGGACTAGATGACCTCTGAGGTTCCTTCTAATTAGGCAGTGCTGTGATTCTCTGACTTCACATGTGCACTTATAATTTCCAAGAGGAAACAAAACCAAAAAGAAATACATAATCTAATTAAAGTTATCAGGTTGTAAATATATAGTTCAAAGTTAAGATTCTTATAGTAATACCTAATTCACTGTTGTTGTATTCAGTGCAGAAATTATTGTTCTTTGACACCATATGTTTGACTGAATTGAAGCCCTAAATAATGCTCTGAAATCAAGGGGACAGTGTTAGAAGAAATTTTGACATTTACATACACATACCTTTCCTCTGGAGACAGGTAGGTGGCTCAGCAGATAGAGCCCTGGGCCTAGAGTCAGAAAGACCCGAATTCAAATCTAGCCTCAGACACTTACTAGTTGTGTGACCCTGAGCATGTCACTTAACCTCTGCTTTAATCCACCAGAGAAGGAAATGACAAACCACTCCACTATTTTTGCCAAGAAACCCCCATGGGCAGCATGGGTGTGCTATAGTCCTTGGACTCACAAAGAGTCAGACGTGACTGAATGACTGAACTACAGTGACAACAACCTTTCCTCCGGGTATTTATAAATTTAGAGGTCCAAAACTAGAAGGGGCCCTAAAGGCTATGTAGTCCAACTCCATCATTTAACAAATGTGGAAATGAAGCATATTCCTTTTAAGTTAAGTGACTTGCCCAGGGTTGCACTGCCAATAAGTGTCTGAGGCAGCATTTGAATCCAGGCCTTCAAACCCAGAGGACCTTTCTACACCATTCTGTTTCTTTTCACTCATTTCCAGATTGGACCCATAACACTTTGGCATGAAGCCCTCAAGCAAGAAGAACAACGTGCTTATGCTGGGCAAAGAAAACCATACGTTTGGATCATGTACCAAATTTCTTCATGAAACAAAGGCCCATTTTATGTTATTGACATTTTTTATGTCAACTCCTTTTCAAATCTATTTCCTCTGCCTGTTCCCCAGAGAGCCATCCTTTAAGACAAAGACTAGACTATAAGGAGAGAAAGAAGAGCAGTTGGGCACCACTAACCAATACATCCAAGTTTGGTAGCATATGCGGCGTTCCACACCCACAGCCTACCACCTCTGCAAAGATGGTGGGGAGGTACATGTTCTCCCCTCTTCTTTGGAGGGTTTGGTTTGATCACTATAATTACATAGCATTCAGTTTTCAGTTACAGTTGTGGGTTGGGTTTTTTTTTTACTTGTCATTCACATTATTGTAGTCATTGTGTATTTTGTTCTTCTGATTTGCTTACCCTGTTTGGCAATATTTCACCTAAAATCTCATCATGCTTCTCAGTATTCTTCTTTTCTCACAGGGCAGCAATATTTTTGTTGTTTGTCCTTCATTCTGAAGAGGACCAATGACATCACAGAGTAATGTCTTGACTTGTGCATGAATTGGATTTAAGTGAGACACAAAGTCGTCAGCCTCACTCTCTCTTCCAGAGTCATCCAAGTTCGTGGCAGGACAAAAGTCAAGTCGCAGCAATATTCTGTTATGTTATTGGACCACAGCTGGTTTCACCATTCCTCAATAGATGGGCATCTGTTTTGTTTCCAGTTCTTTGCAACTACAAAAAGTGCTACTGTGAGTATTTTGGTGTATGTTGAAACTTTCTTCCTATCTTTTACCTCCTCGGGGTCTATGTCTAGCCAAGGGATTGTTGAGTCAAAAGGTATGGACATTATCCCTTTCTTAGCATAATTCCAACAAAGACCTCTTTTAAAAATACTAATATTCTTCTCAGTGAGTTGTGGATCACTATAACCTATGCTTCAAAAGTACTGTAATTGTTGCTCAGTAATTTTCAGTCATGTCTGACTCTTTGTGGCCCCATTTGGGGTTTTCTTGGCAAAGATACTAGAGTGGTTTGCCATTTCCTTCTCCAGATGATTTTTTTACAGATGAGGAAACAGAGGTAAACAGAGTTAAATGACTTGCCCAGGGTCACACAGCTAGTATTTGAGGGCAGATTTGAACTCAGGAAGATGAGTCTTTTTTGACTCTAGCCCCAGCACCCTATCCACTGCACCACCTAGCTGTCCCTGTAAGTGAAGGTCGCTCAAAGGACAATAGAGGTATGTGATAGGCATGAGAGGGTGATGTATTGCCAAGAAGGAGTTATGAAGGACAGCAGCTGTAAAGAATATCATCAAAGAAATGCATGAGAGAAAAAGAAGATGGGCTGGTTCTGTGTCAAGAGTGAAGGATGATTGATGGACGGTTAGCTTCTTTCACTAGTAATGACAAGAGAAAGCAAGGAAGGTCTTCAGGATAGAACCCCTATGGCAAACTTAGAGACAGATTTGGATAAGAGTCATGAGGTACGGGAGAACATGATTGTGCTGCAATCTACATTGTGGAAGGAAATACATCAGTGAGATCATAGAGCCTCTAGAGCAACATGGGGTCCATTTACTTGTCTTTATTATATTTTTATAACTTTATATCAATATAATTGATTTCCTTCATATTTATTTATTCAAAAATAGGATTCTGAAAACTGTTCCATAGACTTCATCAGACTGCCAAAGGGGTCTGTGACACTCAGAAACATAAAGAACCTATACATTAGAGTATTCTAATATAAAGTCATAGGATCATAGATCTCCAGCCAGAAGGGATCTCAGAGGCCAGTTAGTCCCATGACCTCATGAGGAAACTGAGGCCCAGAGAGGTAGGTGACTTACCCAAGGTCACATAGGCAGTAAGTAGCAGAGATGGTTAGTCACACAAATTCCAGTTATAATAATTACCTAAAACTGTCCACACTCATCCTATAATCATTCCCCACAGAAGGCCCTACAGGAATGACTAAAATGTGGAATTCCCAGGTTCCTTCTGACAGTTACCTCTGAAGAAAAGAAAAGCTCAGGATGGATGGATATAGATGTATAAACCAGTCATAGGACTAGGAGTAGAAGGAACAAACGGGGAGCTACATGAAGGGGAGCACAAAGAAAAACTTTTTTTTTTTATTGAGTGTAATGACACAGAACTGCCATCAGGCCCTGAGCGGGGTAGGGAAGACAGGGGTAGAGGTGGGGGATGGAGGAATTGAGATGTTGGCCCTTTCCCACTAAAGTGCCCCTTTGTTCTGGGACAGAGTTTGGGCCCAAAAGAACAGTGTTAGACTCTTCCCTCCTCCCCAATCCGTACTCTCTGCTCTTTACTCCTTACCCTCACCCAAAAATCCTAGAGAAAATCATTTGGCTCACATCTACGGTCTCCCCAAAAACTGAGGCAAAAGGTATTCAATGTACAAAGGAGATCGGGTATAGGAGAGATTTATTTCTTCCACCATAAAAGGAAAACTAACATACTTAAAATGCGAAAGGATCTCAAGCATGCATTGACAAAGACTTAAACATGATTACACCTTCTTGGGAAACTAATGCTTAAAATATCAAAACCTGAAACATTTTGTGGGACTTGTAGTAAATTGGTGTCTCACCTCTGCCTTGGTACTGCACTCTCTGAAGAGCCTCCTCAAGATAAAAAGTCTTCTGGTAACCCAGGCCAGGCTTAGACTCCTACTACCGTGGATGGCTTAGTAGAGCAGTGGGGGAACCTCCTTACCATTTTGTAGGAGGCACTGATTAAGAGTCCCAGGAGTTCCCAAGGTAGCCAATCCTAAAAAGTCCATCTCTTAAGGGAGTGGTACCAGGACTGATGCTCAGGCCTCAAAGTAGAAGAGAGAATCATAGCTTTGGCATCCCAACTTAGGCTCACGTAACAGGCTCCAGGTGCCACACATGAGCCGATGTCATTTTTGTGAGGATCAGGGCCCATCCCTCACAGAAAGTTCCAGAGAAAAAGAGTTACATGACACATGTTCCAAGAGAGCGAGAAGAGAAGAGCTCTAGAGGGTACAATGACTCCATTTAAAAGGCCTACTGAGTGAATGTCTATTCCCAGCTCAGGCAGCAGGAAGTTATGAGTGAGACCGAGGGACCACCCAGAGTTTGCTGCATCAATCCCCCCCAGGGATGAACACATGGGGCCCAGTGGAAACAACCCAGGGTCCCAAAGTCTGGGGTTGGGAGGAGGCTCATCTGCTTTTCCCCATTATATAACTCATAGTACATTTTTAAAAAATTGCTATCTTTGTTTTTTATAACACCTCATTTTCCCAATATATTCCTCCCCTCCCCATCTCAGAGAGCTTTTCCTTATAACAAAGTAAGGATAAATGAAAAAGCATGTATTAAGTGCTTGCTATGTACAAAACACTCTGCTAAGTGCTGGGGATGCAGATAGAGATGCTTTCAAGGAGCTCCTGTTCTAATAGAAAGACAAAACATTTAGGAGGTTTCAGTTCCAAGTCAGGACCAGTGGTCCTTAGGGTGTGGTGGCAAAGTGGATGGTAACGCTATATGTTTTAATGCTATCTCCTCTGATAAAAACATATGCATTTTTGATATTGAGCCATCTGACAAAGCCGAGTCTTCAGGGAGCTGTGGCCATTGAGAAGTCGAGGGTGGGGTGGGGCAGTGCTTGTAGACGCAGAATCCAGGCTGCATCTCCCCAACACTGATGCCCTGGATAATGGCTGAGGGCACTGAAGAGGAAACAGAATCAGGGTTCTGAGGAGCACTGACTTTCACTGGGTTCTTGGCCTCGTCAGTGGTATTCAGTTAGTACTTCCTGGTAGTAGTGATGAGGATGGCAAGTCCATTCTCCATAGAGGCTACAGCAATTGATGATGGGTATACAGGACGAGCTGGAAGCAGGACCAGTAGTTAGAATGAAAAAGGAAAGAAATAATAGTTCAGCAAAACTTGCCAATGTCTCATCCAAGTCTGACATTACATAGCATTCACACACATAGTCTCCCACCTTCACAAAGAAGGGAGGGAGAAGAAATGCACATATTTTTGGTACCAGAAATACCCACTCTTTATAGAATATGGTGATTTTTTTTCCTATGATAAGTCAAGTCTAATTGTGTTACAGCCAAGGCTCAAAGCTTCTGAGGCCCATTTTCCTACAGGGAGATTTGTGGTTACATCATTCAACAAGGTGACATAGAATGAACCAGAGTTTTAAGGTGAGGAAAGAATCTTTGGAGTTAACTGGATGAAAAACAACACCATCGATTCATACTCTGCACAACTGAAAATCACTTTATAATTGAAGTGCTCATTTCATGCAGACACAGTTTCCTGGTGACTCTAAAATAACCTATTTAAACCCCACCTACATTAAACTGACAGTTTAATTTCAGCTGGATTTCAGCTTCTTGTCAATGATTCCTGACAATGTAGTCACTGAAATACAAGATAATTCTCCGTCTGCAGCATTTTAATATAATTATAAAATAAAGAACTTTCATTTGCTTGAAGACTTTGCCTTTCAGTATTTAATAATAACACCTTTTTTTCTGTCTATACTTGTGATTTCATGGGTGTAGGAAGCTCTACATGAAAAAATTCCCTTTATCAATGCAGATCAGTAACTTCGACTTTTAGCAAGTTTCTTGGGCACCAAAAAGTTAAAGGACTTTTCTTGTACTCCCTCCACCCCCATTCTGCCACCACTGCCCTCCAATTAAAAAAAAAAAACCTGCCTTGTAACAAATGGTAAAGCGAAACAAAACCACATATTGGTCATGTATGAAAATGTATGTCTCCTTCTGAACGTCTAGCCCACCACCTCTCTGTCAACAAGCAGGAAGTATGCTTGGTCATCAGTCCTCTGGAACGATGGTAGATCATTGCTCTTGATCACTGTCAATCAGTGTTTTTTAGTCTTTCTTTACAATAATGTAGTCTTTGTATAAACTGTTGTGGTTCTGCTCACTTCACTCTATGTCAGTGCATAAAAGTCTTCCCTTCAGATGAGATTTCCTGAATCCATCCTTTGCATCATTTCTTACAAAATATTGTTCTTTAACATTCATATATCATGATTGTTCAGTTATTCTCCAATTAGTCTACTTTAGTTTTCAGTTCTTGGTTCCAACCAAATGTACTGCTTTGAACATTACGTGTGGATCCTTTCCTTCTTACTTCAATACCCATGGGCTATATGTCTAGTAGTGGTAGGGCTTGGTCAAAGAGTATGACCAGTATAGCCACCTTCTGGGCATCACTACAAATTGCTTTTCAGAATAGTCCTATCACTTCATAGGTGTACCATGGATACATTAGTGACATCATTCTTCCACAGCCCTTTCGAAATTTGTCATTTTTGGGGTCATCTTTGCCAGTTTGATGGGTATGAAGTAGAACTTCAGAGTTTTAATTTGTATTTCTCTTGTTATTAATGGTTCAGAGCATTGTTTCCTGATAAAGTTGTTAATAGCTTACTTTTCTTCTTTTGAGAAATGTGTATATGTATTGTTTCACCATTTATCTATTGATCAATGGCTCACATTTTCATATATTTGAATCAGTTTCTACATAAATCTTGGCTATCAGACCTTTATCAGAGAAACTTGCTGCCACTATTTTTCCCCCAAATAACTGCTTCTCTTCTAACTTTAACTGCATTGATTTTGTTTAAAAACGTGCAAAAGTTTTCCAATTTTATGTAATCAAAATTGTCCATTTTGTGTCTTTTGATCCCCTCTCGTGTTTGGTAAA